TGTGTGTGTGTATATGTATATGTATGTATGTATATGTGTGTGTGTGTGTATGTGTATATGTATATGTATGTATGTATATGTATGTATGTATGTATATATGTATGTATATGTATGTATGTATGTATGTATGTATATATGTATATATGTATGTATGTATGTATGTATGTAATGACTATGAATACAGTTTGAGTTTATATTACTAGTTTCAGGGGATGTAATGTGCTTTTGTCATCAGCAGATGGCGACAGAGATCTGATAACGTATATTGGCGGTTGAGAAATGTAAATCTCACTCTTGATTTCCGTCCACTTTACACATTCATTGTCTAGTTTGAGTCACTTATTTCAATAACGAATACGTTGAAGAACCCTGAACAACACACAGAATCATTTCCGTGGTTCCTTTTTGTCTTATTCGACACATTTTAAGACAAAATAAATTAGCTGGAACCCCGCCCACAATTAGTCGGTATTCACGGTTCTGTAATATGTGCATTAACACGTAGATGCTTCTAACGTACTTCTCTGTGCATATTACAGTCAGTTTTATTGTCCTATTCTTACCCTTTCTACCTGAACGGACATCAGAATATCGGTGGCCTTCAGAAATCAGTTTGTTCTGTTCTTAGGATATTACTCAGGACTCCTCCCGCTTCAAATATATGTACATTTGACCAGATGGCAGTCAAAATGACACCACTCCTACAATACACTATATATTCCGTAGCTAAAAAAAACAATTTTCTTCTGTATATTGTCATTACTTGGTGCACTGACACGGTTTCCTTAAAGAAACTAAATGTTCACGTGTGATCGATTTACGTTTCATAACCGACCTCCTTTACATAATTGTTTACTGCAATGATTTCATAACCTATAAACAACTTCACACAACACATTTCTCTTTTTTTTTATGCTTATATCTTTTATTACACAGTTAGATACACATTCCACTTACATTTGTTAAAGAAACGGCAATATAACATTTGTCAGAATATGCCATTGTTTAAAAAAAAAAAAAAAATCCAAATTATGAACAAGAAAAACACTTTGAACGGTCATTTAGAAAATGACAAGTGCATCAACAGTTTATATTTGCATTTCACCACTTTTTTTTTTTTTTTTTTTTTTTTTTAAACAGGTAATATCACGCTCTGGCAAATTGGAATTGAATACAAAACAAAATGTAAACATGATGATGTGCTACATACACTGAATTATTAAATCAAAACAATTTACGTGAGACATACAACTTCTACACATACCGCAGTAAACAATCTGTTGGCAACAGTCCAAATCTCTATGCAAGTGAACAGTTCAATTTAAAATATCAAAAGGTATACATTGATCTACACACCAGCAGCATGTCACCAAATAAGCAGCAACAACATTACATTGAGTGAACAACTGAGTAATTAATGCGGCGTCCTTTTTTTTTTTTTTTTTTTTTTCCCCCACTGGCAGTCAGTTCAGGTCAAGTCTTAATACCCTTCACCTCCTCACTTTCTGTTCCTCTCAGTTTTTGAACCCTGAAGTGTCCTTAGCTGGTCCACAATCCTTTATCTCAGTCACTTAACGCCCCCGCGGACTTAAGTCCAGGCTTTTCTCTTCAATCTCTTTCTCCGAGTGCTCTCATCTCTTGTCCCTTCGTGAGACAAACCAACACTCCTCCTCCTCCTGTCTATCACTAGGACAGAATACAGCTGTTGGTCTTGTTCATGGGCGGACGAAAGTCTGTGTCTTTTGGAAAGGTCTCCCTGCGTCTACGCAGCGCCGGGCTGAGGCGGCTGGGAAGGTTTGCCTGCTGCAGGAGCTCCTTGAACACCTCCACCACGTTGGTGTTGTCCTTCGCCGACGTCTCCAGGTAACTGTTGTTCCAGTCCTGCTCCACGGTCGACAGTACGTCCTTATTGGACACCTGACGCTCCTGCTCCCGGTCCGACTTGTTCCCCACCACCACGATCGGCATGTTCTTGTCCTCCTTGATCTCCATGATCTCATCCCGGAGGCTCTTGACGGCCTCCAGTGACTCGGCGTCATCCAGGGCGTACACCAGTGCGAAGGCGTCGCTGTTTTGGATGGAGAGCTTGCGCATGGCCGGGAAGGAGTAGCTGCCGCTGGTGTCCAGGATCTCCACTGTGATCTTGACCCCGCCGATGTCATACTCCTTGCTGTGCAGCTCCTCCACTGTGCGCCGGTGTTTGGGCTCAAACGTGTCTTGGAGGAAGCGCTGGATCAGGGCCGTCTTGCCCACTCCTGCTGCCCCCAGAAAGACTAGTCGCACCTGCGTCTTCTCCTTCACCTCCAGAGACATGCTGCTTTTTCTTTGTGGAGGGGATGTCCCAATGCTGCTTTTTCTTTGTGGAGGGGATGTCCCAAAAAAACTATCTCAAATCGACTCACTTCCACAGCGGCTACAACAGCTGTTATAAAACTGACACTGCAAATGAAAACACCTGTCACTGACTTCAACCTTTCTAAATAGATTTCCTTGAATATCTCTCTTACAGCAGTTTCTTGTGAGTCCTCATCTTGAGCTTCCTTTCTTGCTTTGTTTCACTTGCTTGTTTCTTCTTCTTTTTTTTTTAACTGGTGGTTCTCTGTCAAAGCTCCTTTTTAAAATCGCTCCTGCGCGTCCGGTCCCCACAGCTGCCTTTTATGCCTGTTTTGGTGAGAGAGCTTCCATGCCCTCGTGCAGCTGCAACCAATCAGCAGAGGGCAGCCTGTTGCAGTGTAACATCCAGGCAACCAATGATAAAAGAGTATGTAAATCAGCGTGCATGCGGCCAATTCAGGGGGAGAAAGGAGTTGATATCTAAACGGCAGGCGGGAGCGTGGAAAGCATGAGGAAACAAAGACATATAGAGACAAATGTCAGAAGATCCTTCACTGCTTCTATTTAGATTTAGATCAAATCCATCCTGCTCTCGTGGTTGATTAATGCCTTCTGTGGGTTCCTCTTTATGAGACGGGATCATCCTAAAAATAGACAAACCTTTGTGAGGCTACAACATGTGTCATAAATTCTTATAATTACAGCTCTGACATCCCTTTTGTATGAATATGTTTGGCATGTTCTGCAACCAATGATTAGACCTCACTAAAGACTGTGACGGTGCCCGGGATGATAACCGGCACATAGGGTGAGTAAATATATTCAGTTTGTGTTTATTTACTTCTTTTAGTTGATGCGCTTATGAACAGCCACCTACAACGTATGGGTAATAACAATATGCATACTGCTCTGGTCACAGGTGTGGAGAGATGAAAGATGATATTACATAAAATAATAGACGGTGGTGTATTCTCATCATGTTTGGGTTATTTTTATGGTTTTGTAAACGCATCACAGATTTCTATAATCTCTTCTATATTTCCATACTCTGTTAAGGCAAATAAATGTATTCGCATCTTTCAACAACAAGGCAATTCCAAAGTGCTTTTTTTCCACGTCCTTGCTCTTAGTGTTGACTTGCAGAAACAAAGTCATGCAGTTTCAAAGTGGTTGGTTATGTAATAATTAACTTGGCCTGTCATTTTTTTTAAAAAGTAAGGAGACCAATGCACCAAAGTCTGTGTTCTTATCATAAAAATAGACTGTGACTCTCCCTGCCTTGTTAGGTTAGGCAACAGCGTGGAACCACGATGAGCCCCTTTCCCGCCCGATCCACCAACACAGGCTTTTAATATGCACCTGATGGGCAGTGGAACAGAGCTAAGCACTGTGGGAATATTAGCTGTGAACTCTCCTGGCCCGATACACACTGTGAGTAAGAATAACGGCTGCAGTCACTGCTGTGGAATTTAAAGCAGGGTGTCTAAACTGATGACAGTTCTAGTCATATTGTTCTGGCAGTTCAGTGATAAAGAAAAGCATCTTCCTACCTTAAGGCTTTGACATTTCTCTATAATATTAAATATTGTTAAAGGTAGCATTTCTATTGCCTCTCAGCAACTCTCTGGCGACGGCTGAGCCGGTGGCTTGCAGCTAACGGTGCTGACTGTTTTTACCTGAAGGGGAACTGGAGGATGGAATGCTGTAGGCTTGCGCAACATCGGTATCACTCTGGACCGAGTTATCAGCTGTAACCGCCAATATGAGAGCAGTGCAGAGCGGAAGCAGTGAGCTTGCCAGTGGAGAACGCTCACAATGCACGAACATGCACTAAAAGCCTGCCCCAGGCTGACCGGGTTGTATCAACAAAGCATGGAGAAGCTCGCAGAGGGTAAACATTACTCCACTATATCTTTACACATGTTCAACGTAGGATTTAATGGCACTTTAAGTAAATGTGCAATAAAACCTTGATTGATATGTCACTTGATTGCGGTACAACTGACTCCCGCTCACTTCAAGCCAATGCACAGACAAAGAGAGGTATTCTGGGGAAATGTAGGAAATGAAAAACAGAAGTAGGCATACATGAGGCAGATTAAGGTCAAATTGATGCACTATGAATACAATGAATGTAATGGGTAATACATGTGTAGTGTTATGAATAAAAATGTATTAATTCCAGGTAAGTACCAAGCCATTGTTGCATACTGCATATCCTCATATCTAACTCACACATGAAAGAATGCCACAAAACTACATGAAATAAAAACTGATCTCATACAACATAAAAGTCTGCGCCATTAAGAGCTTAGAGTGAAATGAAAAGTGAACCTCCCGTCTGTGGCCACTGGATGGATATTCATGTGCCATTATGTCTCATATCCCAGGCTTTTTCTTTTTTCCTTTCTATTCCTATTCACGGTCATGCTGCCCTGTGGTGATGATTATCACCAGATGGCATTGCCTGTTGGCCTGAAATAGATTTTCAGAGAAATATGAAACTCACATTGTGAGGATATCATGGCGTGCAGTTAACTCTTACAGCAAAATATCTTTATTTACGGGCTGTAATTGTTTCGGGTCAAAGCTCTCCATGAATTGTGTTGTTTGACACAGGAATAGCCCGATATATTGTATCCTCCTGTCGTTAATATGCTTAGTTTTGTTCACATGTTCAGTTGTCAATGCCTGTTCAACAGGTTGCTTTGTCTGTGTGACCTGTGTCGTGACACTGTTGTACTGAATGTGCCATTGTGTGCACATGCAACCTCGCTCAGTTTCTTATCTTTCTTTCTCCTGTTTCTTGTAATTACCCTCCTATTGCCTTAATGTTGCTAATGTTTCCGTCCGTACCTGCGTTCATTTCTTCTTCATATAAAATGACAATTAGTCTCTCGGTGGATCTGATTTTCGCGTACAGTGTAGAGTTGACTTTGATTTCTGATTACCCAATATCGCGAATCCCAAATTTACCTCAAGGGGCTATACAATCTGTGCAGCATACATACGAAAACATCTGTCCTTAGGCCCTTGCTTCAGAAAAGGAAAACTCCCCCCCCTGGAAAACTCATTAAAGAGGAGAAAATGGAAGAAACCTCAAGAAGAGCAAGTGCAGAGCAACACACTTGTTAGAAACGTGCACTGCTGTCATCCTGTCAAAATGATGCCGCGCTGAAAAGATGATGATGTGGAAATGTGACAGATGCCAAATATAAATATTGCCCTATACGTGTGAATTAACCTTCACATATCTGCTCTCACTAGAACGGTTGAAGGAGGACTGATAATGTTTTGATGCGGCTAAAAAGTGAACGTTGTAATATAAGGAAACCGTTAATTCTGCCCCCCCCCCAAAAAAAACAAAAAAAAAACAAAGCATGTTGGGGGAACCATATTCAGCTGCGGATTAATACACATTTGGTTTTCTAGTGAGTATTTACGACAGGCGAAACATTTCATTCTCTACACTGTCTACACCACACAGTTTATTACTGAACGCACTGACAGTCCATGAATTGTCCTTAGTGCTCTGGCTCTTACCCAGTTGCTGCCCTGTTGCAAAACAGCTGGTGTGCAGCAGCTAATTGCTTGATGCTTACACGAGGTTAGTCATTGAACAATATTACATTACAATCTACGCTTATGTAATTACCCCAGACTTTACCTTTTGGGATTGGCAATCTGGGGGGGGTGCTGTATTACTTAGCAAATGTATGGCAAACGTCCCAACTAAACACATTGGTGCTGAGGACAGCATACGCCAACAGTGAGATCCAGTGTGAATGTACTGAAATGAAACTGTTTATAACATGGATTAACCAGCATCCACCTATTATCATTTTTTTATTGTGAAAGTAGAGCGGTTGTTTAGACGGACTTTAAACATGGTCTCTTCCTGCCCATCATAAACTGCATTATGTCTTATCAGAGCTAAAGCTGAAATAGTACGATTCATTCATGTCGGGTATGACAGCCTTCTGCCGCCACTGTAAAATCTTTGGCTGTAACGCTGTGTTGATATGGTGCTTGGGCTTGTTCCAAATGGCCTTCCAGTCTGGCGGTGTTGGTTCATAGTCTCACCTTGTTGAAGCACATTGAGTTGTACATGTCCAGTAGTTGAGTAAATAGTGAGTAATAAATGTTAACAGGAGAAATGATACCATCTTTATGGTTGTGTTTTGACTTTATGGTCTTTTGTGGCCCCGGACATTTATTTCATGACTTCCATAAGTAGAAACTAATCATCTATTCCTTTTTTTTGTTTGTCACATTTTGGAAGAGAGACGGGTCATTTAAAAGTAAAGACATACGCCCAAGCTGATAAAACAAACAGCTTTGCTATCATTCAATTTGGGAATGAGGCTACAGGCTGTAGTGCAATTCTTATTGATGGAACAGCAGGATGTCTGCCAGGATATTGTACGTCAACAGTCAAATCGCCTGTCTGACTAGGCAACCACTATCAGTGTCCTCCTGTCTTTGTCAGTGCGGATAGACATGCAGGGCTGATGGTTACCAAACATATGTGAGAGAGAGAGAGAGAGAGAGAGAGAGAGAGAGAGAGAGAGAGAGAGGACAATTTTCCATCTTGTCTCATTCTTGTCAAATAAATCACTACACATTCTGTGACATTATGTGCTGTATTTTCTCATACTTATTTTTGTACTTTGGCTTCGCTCATCATTGTGTTAACAAGAAAAATGATGATGTAATGAAATGTGTATGACTCACTCTCTTATGTGGATCAACTACTTTTTCATGCTAACAAGCATTGTCCGTGTAGTTAAACCCTGACATTGTTTATATCCTCTGTGCCTCCATCGCTGTCCAGAAACGACTTAAAACTACTTAAGCCACAGTGTTACACTGGGTGACATGCTCCTTTATTATGACCAACGAGGTTACTGTAGTTCTCTTCTCTGCCAGGAGCTAATGAAAGATTGTGTGTGTGTGAGTGTGTGTGTGTGAGTGTGTGTGTGCATCTTTGTGTCCGTCCACGGCTAGTCTCGCGTACTGCTGCGCCAAACTGCATCATATTTTGATTGCTCATTTATGGCTGTATACTCAATGACCTCTCAAGGTTGTGGTGAATCACACTTATTGCCTGTTTAATACCACCATTGATTGACTCCTGGCTTTTCCTCACTCACAACTCAAGTGACTCTACACTTGATTGCATTGCTGCCGCTCTGCAGCGAGAGACATGGGCTGTGTTCGTAAACGCATGCTAATGTACTGCATTCTACATACTCAATCAGTATTTCCAGCATACTGCCTACTAAATGATTAATTAAGTATAATTTTACCATCAGACTGTTAACACTGA